AGAGAATGCACTACGTTATAACTAAACCACAAAAAGAAAACTAGAAAAAGCTCAAACGTGGAGATTAAACAGCATGTTTCATTGGGTAAATTAAATCACAGAAAAAATTAAAAGTTATCTGGAGATGAATGAAAAAAAAAATGTCGCCCATCAGTCATGGGATGCCGCAAAAGCAGCAGTAAGAGAGAAGTTCAAAGAAACAGAGGCTCACATAAGTAAGGAAGAATGTCTCAAACAAGCTGTCTTGAAACTAAAAACACAGGACAAAGATTAGTGAAGCCAAGAGCTAGCTCTTTCAAAGACAGATGGGATGGGGGGATGGAGGGTGGGAGGGATACTGGGATCCATGTTGGTGGGAAATGGGCACCGGTGGAGGGATGGGTATTTGATCATTGTATAATTGAAACCCAAGCACAAAAATTTGTAAGTCTACAACTGTACCTCATGGTGTCTCACTAATAAAAATTTAAAAAAATAAAGATAAGCGCTTAGCTAAATTCACCAAGAAAAAAAAAAAAGCAAAGGAAGTCTTAAAAGAAGAACCGAAAAAAGCAAAACAAACACAGGTAGAAATGCAAACCCTAACCACAGTAACCACAGTGAGATAACACCTCCCACTGGTGAGAACACCCTGTCTCAAAAAGACTGACAGGATCAGCCTGCTGGGGCATGGGGTGGGGGGTGGGTGGGTAGGAATTTTCTATATTGGTGGGAAAGTGGTGCAGCCTCTCTGGGAAAAGGTATGGGGATTCCGATTCCTTACAAACGTAAATTGGAAATCCCATCTGCTCCTACATACCGCTCCTGGTCAATGATCTGAAGGATGTGAAAAGACTCATTTAAACGAGCGTACTGCACACCCTTCTGCGCCTAGCACTTTCCAAGCTCCCAGGAAGGGCAAGTTCAAGGGTCCCCTGCAGTCGTGAGCTGGGGGAGCTTCTAGGGGCTCATTTCTGGCGCCTGTTCGCACCCTGAGCCTCCTCGGCTTCTTCCCTTCCCTCCTCTCCGCCTCCCACCCAAAGCTGGGCAGCGACCAGTCCTTGGAGGGGAGGCTCCATCCATCCGGGGACAGGAGGAGCCGCACAGCTGGCACAGAGCCGCCTCTGGAGCTACCGGGGACACTTCCAGCACTGGGGCCAGGATCCAAAGATTGCTTTTTTTTTAATTTTTATTTTTTATTTTTTGCTGTTCTGGGGATGCAACCCCATCCTCCCTACCAAGTTATGTGCCTCGGTGGGGCCTCATGCCTGCTCTTGTTTCCCATTGACCGCACCTTCTCTCTCTACCACACTCCCCCTCAGTCCTTCCTCCCCCCCACTTTTCCATCTGTCCCTTGAAGTTCCAAACTGGTCACTTCCTCACCCACGGCTAAATCCAGGCTGGTGACCCGCCCTGCCACTAAGGCCTGTGTGCTTTCAAAATAGTGTCTTTTCCCTGTCATTTTGAACTTATTGCAAACTATGGCAGATTACAAAGAACTCCCAGATCACATTCATTCAAATTTATTTTGCCATTTTTGCTTTATTCCACTCTCCTTCCTCTTGCCCCCACCGGCCACTGTCACTTACTTTTTTTTTCTGCTTTTTTGGGTCACACTCAGAGATGCACAGCAGTGCCTCCTGGCTCATGCACTCAGGAATCCCTCCTGGCAGTGCTCAGGGGACCAACCAGGTCGGCCGCATGCATGGCAAATGCCCTACCCACTGTGCTATCGCTCCAGCCACACTTTTTTTCCCCACTCCTGAAGAGTTTGGTATTTGCTCAAAGAGGTCATACTCCTTTAATATAACTACTTGCAGTATTTCCTGAGAATAGGGTATTCTTTTATAGTTATCAAATTCAGAAAAATTCACTGTCACTGTTACTGTCCTCTCATTGTTCATCGATTTGCTCAAGCCGGCCCAGTAACGTCTCCATTGTGAGACTTGTTGTTACTGTGTTTGGCATACCGAACACGTCAGGGGTAGCTTGCCAGGCTTTGCTGTGCGGGCGAGATACTCTCTGTAGCTTGCTGGGCTCTCTGAGAGGGGCGGAGAAATCGAACCCGACTCAGCTGGGCTGGCTGTAAGCAAAACAAATGCCCTACGGCTGTTCAGAAAAATTAGCTCTGATATAATATCATTATTTAACACTTGGTCTACATTTTTAAAAATGTGTCACTTGTGGGACCAGAAGGATAGTTAAAAGGGCTGGAGTGAAGCCTGGGTTCAACTTCCACACCATGTGATGCCCAAACATCACCTGGACCACTCGCTGGTGTGGCCCCCAAGCAAACACAATGTGTCAGCTGAGGCTGGAAAGATGGTACAGTGGGTAGGGTGAATGCAGCCCACCCAGGTTCAATCCCAGCATCCCTTATGGTTTCCTCTGCACTGCCAGGAGTAGGTCCTGAGTGCAGTCCAGGAGTAACTTCTGAGCATCACCAGGTGTGGCCCCCAAACAAAAACAAAACAAAAAAGGTTGTTTCGAAAAAGGCCCTCATGATGACACACTAGCTGTAGCCTGCTATTCACAACGATGCTGTGACTAAAGCTTTAAGTTGTTCACCTTTAGCTCATCTGTTTTGCCTATCACCTAGCAAGACCTCCAGAGGCAAGTTTTCCGAGCAGTTTGGGTTTGAGAAAGTTCTTATGCTTGGGGAGAGAAAGCCCCGTCAAAGCTCAGTTGATTATGGGTGGTGGACTCTGAGAATGAGCAGTGCGCATGCCTACGGGATCTGGCCCAGCACCGCAAGTGGGATTCCATCATCAGCCTTTTTCAGTCTTCCAATACACCAACGTTGGCGCATTCCTACTTATCCCCACTTATCCTCAAAGAAAGCCAAAAGAAAGTAAGATTATTAAAAAACCAGAGGTGTTTCTCTCTCTTTTTTCTTTTTTAGCTTTTTGAGTCACACCCGGCGATGCATAGGAATTACTTCTGGCTGTGCTTGGGGGACCATATGGGATGCCAGGGATCAAACCTGGGTCTGCCTGGTAGGGCAGACCTGGCCTGGTAGAGCAAGGCAAATGCCCTACCCGCTGTATATTATTGCTCCAGCTCCCCAAAACAGAGTTTCTTAAGGAGGATACCAAATACGATTTTTATTGATGCCTGTAATTTTGAAGCCTATATCCAATCTCTTAATGAAATTTGCTAGAAAGTAAGGAAAGGAAATAGTTTTTATCTTTTGACATAGTATAGAAGCACAGCGCGAGGATTTTTTTAAATTTTTACTTGATAATTATTTTTAAAAATTTATTTTTATTTATTTAATTTTTTTAAAATTATTTTTTAGCGTGAGGATTTTTGCTTTCTTTATTCCAGGCAACGATTCCAACTGTTTTCCTGTCACCTTGCAGAAACAGCAGCAGCAACTTTTGCATGCAGTTCTTGGGGGTGAACAAATGGAAGTCAGTGACCACAAATGCAGACCAGAAAGTTATGTTACAGGCAAGATGAGTGGCATCAACAGAAGCAGCGTTTGAAGAAGCTGCCAAAGAAATAACCAGTGAAGGCAATCTGTGGGATTTGTCACTTGCATTGCAGCCTCTGCCGAGGCTCCAATCTTTCTGTGAGTTATGTCTTGTAGTACTGGAGTCGTAAGAACATCCGTGTAATCTTTTCATCAGGACTTGAGCCTGGGACCTTATTGACAGGTGTAGAGGGAGTGCTTCATTTATGCTAATATCTATTCTATAACAAAAAGGAGACAGGGATTTTAATTTACATTGGTTGCTTAAAAAGTTCACATTAAAGTAAATTTATAGCAACTGGGGAGATAGCTCAAGTGGATGGAGTATTTTAGCCTCCTAAGCTCCCCGGGATGGAGTCCTGGTGACCTCCAGCCCTGCTGGGGAAGCCCCAACAACAACAACAATTGAAAGATCGTAATTTAGAAAAAAAAATGTTTTGTGGCTCCAATGACAGTGCACCGGGTAGGAGGCTTGTCCTGCACAGCTGACCTGGGTTTGATCTTCACCATCCCATATGGACCCCTGAGCCCTGCCAGGAGTGACCCCTAAGTACAGAGTCAGGAGAGAACCCTGAGCACAGCAGAGTGTGGCCCCAAAGCAAAACCAAAAAAACCAATTTGGGTATTTATGGTATTGTTTCATATATCAGGGTGCAGTGCACAGGGGCAAAAGTTGGAGCGCTTGCTTTGCATGCAGAAGGCCCAGGTTGGGTACCAGCCCAGGGTGGTCTCTGGATAGTGCTGGACAAACCCTCCAAGCACTGAGACAAGAGAGGAGGCTGCACTGTGGGTTGGGGCCCCTGCAAACAAAACAAAATGAAGTGCCACGTATAATCCAAATTTCTATGACTTTGTCTTTTCAAATTGTGTAACTTCTCGTAAAGCTCTTATTGTGAATGTGCTGTGCTATGTACATTATCCAAAGACTACAAAAAAGCCACCACGCTGTCTTCATTGGACTTATAATGACGTCAGTTTATTGAAATGCTCTTTGCTTTAGATTAGGGATTGGGCTCATCTGGCATCTCAGTATGGAGAGGAATAACTGAAACCAGAAGGTGTAAGATTTTATTTTCATGTCCATTTCTTTGATCATAAGAAGTTGTGAATAATAACAATTCAGTCACTGCTCTTAATTTGCAGAATCATCAATAAGCCAATATCCTCACTGTTGACAAGGAAAACAGTTTCTTGTCAAAGGGTCAAAGAGACAGTACTGAGGTTAAGACACTTCCCTTGGTGGCTCATCCCAGTTCATTCACAGGACCCTAAGCTTGCCAAAAGTGATCCCTGAGCAGAAAATCAGGACTAAACCCTGGGTATATCCCCCAAATAAAGAAAAAACTTTTTTTTTCAGGTTTTTTTTTTTTTCCAGTTTTTTCATCACCACTGATGCTCAGGGGTTACTCCTGGCTCTGGACTCAGGAATGACTCCTGGTAGTTCTCAGGGGATCATATGGGATGCCCGGGATCCAACCCAGATTGGCCACATGTGAGGCCTTATCCGATGTATGATTGCTCCCGCCCCCAAACAAAATATTCTTAATCTTCAATTCCAGTAGTCTTAGTTTGAGCATAGAAAACAAAAGTCTTTATTTTAGCCTTTTCTGAGGCATCCGTCTCTTCTGCTTCAGCCTTCTAGGGGCTTCTCGTTTCTCTCTGCTCTCCTCAGATGAGCTTCCTTTCTGGAGCTGTCTAATGGGGAAATAGTTATAACGGGGAGGCACGCGACTCTGTGGTCTCCAAACTGGTTGGAAGTGAACACGGTGGTTGCACCTTGGAGGCACCAAAGGTCTGTTTGGAAATAGAAATGGAACGTGGACTCTGGGCCGTTGTACTGGAAAGAAATGGATGGGACACTTGGGTGTCCTGATAATGGGCGGGAACCTGGTCACGGGGCGCCTTGTGATTGGCGGAGGAGTGAGGGTGAAGATCTGGCAGTCTGTCGGGTCCACGCCAGGCAGAATGTCCTGTCCTGTGGAGGGAGAACTCAGTGAGGACACAGATCTGAGAGCGGAGGCAGGAGAGGAAGACTGGAAGAGAGAAAGAGATCTCAAAAGGCATATTGGAGGGAAGTGCCAGGATTCAGCCCCGTGAAACAGGGACACGCCTAGTTACCAGCGGTTCCTCTTCGAGGAAGTGACCTGAGAGAGGGAAGCACATGAGTTGAAAACCCTAGGTGAGACTCTTCCAGATGCAACCCTGAAATGCACACCCCCCTGGGTGAGTTTTAAAAATTTTATTATTATGACTGTTATTATGGGCCGGAGCGATAGCACAGCCGGTAGGGTGTTTGCCTTGCACACCACAAACCTGGGTTTGATTCCTCTGCTCCTCTCGGAGAGCCTGGCAAGCTCCCCATAGTGTATTCGATACGCCAAACACAGTCATAACAAGTCTCACAATGGAGACGTTACTGGTGCCCGCTTGAGCAAATCGATGAACAAAGGGAGGACAGTGCTACAGTGCTACTGTTATTATTGTTTCTTTGGGGGGGATACACCCAGCAGTGTTCAGGGCTTATTCTTGGCTATGTGCTCAGGGATCACTCCTAGTGGATTCACACGACTGTATAGGTCAGTGGGGATCAACCCGGGTACAGCTGTGCAAGACAGCAACTTACCCACTGTGCTCTATCTTCGGCTTCCCTGCTGGAATTTGATCTCAGAAGAATGTTCGTAGTAACTTTATTACTAGAGCCTAAACCTGGGAATGATATCAGTGTCCAATAGGAGATTGACTAGATAAAAGTGTGTATTCATACAAGGAAATACCACTCAGCAAATGAAAAGGAAGAGTCACAAATACAGTGACATGAATGGGTTCCACGCATGTTATGCAAGAGAAGTAAAACCCAAAAGAGCACATCCTAGACTCCTTCCTTCCTTCCTTCCTTCCTTCCTTCCTTCCTTCCTTCCTTCCTTCCTCCCTCTCTTCCTTCCTCCCTCCCTCCCTCCCTCCCTCCCTCCCTCCCTCCCTCCCTCCCTTCCTTCCTTCCTTCCTTATGTTTCCAGGCTACTTTGAGAGCTCGAACCCAGATCCTGCATATGCTAGGCATGTACTCCACCACTTTGAGCTATACCTCCAGCACTTCCTTTATTTTTTATCTTTTATCTGCTTTGTTCCCATTGACATTTAAATGTTTGGTATCCTCAAAGTCTCTTTAAAAATTATCATCTTTGGCAGCCGCTTGGGAGCTTTGTGGAAAGCCAAGTATGAGCTGGTCGTGATGGGGCAACGAAAACCTCATGGGAAGGGGGGCGTTCCTGGCTCATCCTTCATGCCCTATCAGGGTCACCAGTTGCCCCCCACAAGCGGCTCTCCGGCACGGCCATGGCTCCAGAGCACAGAAACCAATCTCTTAATTATCTGACTCTCAGCAGAAATACTTCCAGGGTTAATAAGTAAAATAGCAGAAATCCAAAACTGCACGGTCGCAATTGCGGCCGTGCGACATCATTGAATTCTTGAACCCAGCTCTAGGAAACAAATCATTTCACAGTGCCTTTTCAGCATGTCTGATTTGGGGGTGTAAACTCTAAACAATAATGGTGCATCTTTTATCGAAACAATGAATCTAGTCAAAGTAGGTAGAGTGTTAACTAGAATTCATCTGCCTCACAGGCATTGGGAGGGTTGGGGGGAGTTGGGGTTTGTTGGGGTTCTTCGTGGTTGAAAAATAAGTACTGGTAAAGGGAAATGTGTTTAATATTTGCATGACCGAGACCTAAACCTGAAAGCTTTGTAACTTTTCCCACAGTGATTCAATAAATAAATAAATTTTTAAAAAATTATCATCTTCATTCACTTGAAGATTCTCATCACAAGACAACCCTTTTTGGAGGGTTGAGGGGTGGCAAGCAGTGCTGAGGACTTATTTGTGGCTGTGTGCTCAGGAATTACTGGTGGTGGTGCTCAGGAGACTACACACAGAGCCAGGGATTGGACTGAAGTAGGCCATGTGCAAGGCAAGTGCCTTTGCCACAGTACTTTCGGGGTCATTCTCCGATTCTTTAAATAGAATTCTTAGCTTCATATTTCAGAGAAAAAATTCCAGTGGTCTGTCATTAACTTCTTTGGTTTCCACTTCTCTCATTTCAAACAGAAGTCCACACATTTGCTAATTCCATTTTTCTTACATCTAATTATGAATTTACTTTTTCTTTCAGTGCGGGGACTGAACTCTCCTACATGAATTTATCCCTTGGAACTGAACTCTAACCTCTCAGCTCTACAGAGCTACTTTGACAAAACTCTTCAGTGTGTTCTGAGCATGTCTGACACACGGTAAATACTTAGAGTTAGCTATTGTTTTTATTGATCTTGAATATTATGGAAAAATTCTGATAGCCTGAGTCCTGTGTATCTCCAGCAAGGGCCCATTTTAACTGGATGAACATTTGGAGACAGATGACATTAGTCAAGACCTCTGTGGGGATTGGAGAGATAATAGAGCAGGTAGGGCATTTGCATGTGGCTGACCTGTATTCTATTCCTGGCATCCCATATGGTCCCCCTAGCCTGCCACGAGTGATCCAAGAGTGCAGAGCGAGGAGTAAGCCCGGAGCACCTGGGTATGGCTCCAAAATCAAAATATATATATAAATAAAGACCGGACCTCCATGAAGAAAAGATTTGCTGACTGAGTTGGTCACTGCTGTGTGCCTGGTACATAAAACAGGCCTTGGTTCATAGTAGGTCTAGTGCATAGCTGGTGAAAAATCAGATATATGCTGAGAATTCTTTCATGTATAGTTTTGTGGAGCTCACTAAATATTTAATTCCAGTCCCATAAAACTTGCAACCATTACTCATATTTAAAGTCAAAGTATAACAAAATATCAAGACACAATAATGCTTGGAGTTTAGATATCAATTTTAAATGGGTGTATTATAGTCTAGACATGAGTAGTATTTATAGCTTACCAACAACTAGTACTTAAAAAATAAGTAATGATGAAAAGAGCTTTTTTTATAACTGCTTGTTGTCTGTGGTTTTTAGTGAACTACTGATATTTAAGGGAGGTTAACTCTCTGATGTATAAGTATGCTGCACTTTCTCTTCATGGGACCTGTACTGTTACATTCTCGCATGCTTTCAGATTTGAACCCAAAAGAAATAAATTCTTATTTTAATTTACTCACAATAATGTTAACTGAATTGTGTATATACACAGAATGATTGGTTCTTATATTAAAGGCTTCATTTTATCGATAAAGGATTTGGTGCCGAAAATGTCGCACACATCTATCTATGCTCTAATTTTCAACAGTGTGCAGGATCCTTTTTAGGTGCTGTGACAAATGCAGAGATGATAAAAATGCTGAGAAGTGGGATTTGCTCTATCCACCTGGATTGCTAACGGGATTCCTGAACAGTTAGTGCCTTGGGTGGTGATGCTAATTGCTGGAAGCGTTCAAAGAAGTCAGAGAACAGGGAGAGTGACAGAAATTTTAAAACTGCCTTTAGAAAACCTCTGTAAAGGTGCTACTTAGAGCGACATTTATTTATTTTATTTTATTTTATTTTTTTATTAGTGAAACACCAGTTGTAGACTTACAAACTTTCATGCTTGGGTTTCAGTTATACAATGATCGAGTACCCATCCCTCCACCAGTGCCCATTCTCCACCACCAATGATCCTAGTCGCCCTCCCACCCCCACACCCTATCCCCCCACCCCACCCTGCCTCTGTGGCAGGGCATTCCCTTTTGCTCACTCTTTCCTTCAGGGTCTCGTAGTTTGCAATAGAGGTATTGAGTGGCCATCGTGTTCGGTTTATAGTCTACTTTCAGCACGCATCTCGCATCACAAGTGAGTCCTCCAAACATCCTTTACTTGGTGTTCCCTTCTCTATCTAAGCTGCCTTTCCTCCCAGCATGTGAGGCCAGTAAAGCGACATTTAAACATCACTGTCAGAGTCTGGCCAAGTGCAGGAAGGTGCCTGTGAACTGGCAGGAGGGCTGCTGTTTTCAATGGTGTTTTGTGTTTGGTTTTAGATGTGCAAAACCCTTTAATCACATTAATAGCTTGTTTTGCTCCTTACTTACTTGTCAAATGGCTAGTCCTATTTTATGGGCCCTCTCAGTTGCTCCCTTTAGCGGGGGTGCTTGTGGGGGGAGGGGGCAGGTGGAGGGGAGGTGGTCTTCTGGAACTGGGGCGGTATTATCTGTAATTCATACTCCCTGCTCAGACCCTGGAGCTGTCACAGAGAACAGCTGGTGAGGGGGGCGCCCTAGTGCTCACTGCCCCTCTTCATTCTGGGGACGGGAGCAGGGAAACTTATTGGGGGGTGACAAACACTGAGCTGAGCCCCTGAGAAGCCAGGGGCTCAAGAAACAAGTGAAGAAACAAGTCAACGGGACTCTGGAGGTCCCTCCTCCCTGAACAGAGTGTAGTTCTGGCGTGGTCAACTGTCACCAGAACATCGACCCAGAACCCCCAGTCCTCTGACCTCTCTGCTTTTTGGCTCTCCTTCCTAGCCCCTCTTACTTTCCCCAGGAAATTCATTCTGAGGCTCAGACTAGTGATTTTGTAGTGGGGGTCAGGCGGGGGGCGGGGGGGGGGTCAGACAGAGAGATTTGAAGAGAACACGAGTGGAGATTTCAATCTAATATAATCCCCCAAAAGAAAAGCTATGCTCCCCTCATTAGTAGCAAGGCACCACTATTTGTGACTCATTAAAGAATGAATGGATTAAACATCACCATGTACCAATGGCCATGCTGGGGGGAGTTCAGAGAGGGGCGCTGGGGTGGATAAAGCTGTCATTCAGGGTGGAAATAGCTTTGCAACAAGAATAACTCAGAACCGTATGGTGATTTAAGCTCCAAGAATTTTTCTAAAGTGATATAGCACAGCCAGCCCCGTAGTGCAATGGATGTTAATGCTCCTGTCGCCTCACTGCTAAGGAGACACACGCCAGAGACTCAGCCTGTGTGGTCACAGTGCTAGGATTCAGACGGCCAGAGGCAGCTTCTTTGTCTTTTACCTCACAAGCGGATGGAAGCTGACAGAAAAGCGTCTAATTTAAGGATATGGATAATCATAGAGTCCTAGTTCGTCCCTTCACACGACTCAGACTACGTTCATGAAACATTAATTAATTACGGGCTCGCCGAAGCATGAAAGCAAAAGCCTTACCTTCTGCCACAGTTGCCAGCAGCCAGCAGAGCAGGAGGCAGGAGAAGGCGCGCGTGTGAGCCATGGCTCTGCCCTCCGCAGTCACCACCGGGAACCTCACCTGGCTTTAAGGGGCCCGGGTGAGTCACCTGCAGCCTGACTCGGGTAATTTGCATCTGCACAGCGGACCACCGGGATCAGGGCCTGCGGTGTGAGGCTCAGCAAGGAAATTCCAGACAGTATTTATCAACCAGAAGCTTCTGGGAATGACCGGGCCAAACCCCTTTCAACTCTCCCTGGAGTCCGGATGGTGGCCGGCCCCGCCCTCATCAGCCCTTTCATTCCCTCCAAGTTCCCCATGCAGTGCCTTCTCTTCAGACAGGAAATGCAGTGCACTGCTGCCTTTGCAGTTGTTGGTTTTGTCCAAAAGCTTCAGGCCTGGGCCATTTGCAAGTTCCCCATCAAACCTGCTAACAGACCTGTTATGCTTTGTGTCTCCTTCATTAAAAAAATTTGGGTGGGTGGAATAGGGGGATGGGGGATGGGAGGGATACTGGGCTTAGTGGTGGTGGAGAATGGGCACTGGTAGAGGGATGGGTACTCGATCATTGTATAGCTGAAACCCAAGCACAAAAATTTGTAAGTATACAACTGTACCTCATGGTGTTTCACTAATAAAAATTAAAAAAAAATAATTGGGGTGGGTGGGAGGGTGTGTGTGGAGGGGGGGCAGAGCCATAGTACAGCAGGTAAGACACTTTACTTTGTACATGGCCAACCCGGCTTTGAATCCTGGCATCCCATATGGTCCCCTGACACCGTCAGAAGTGATTCCTGATCGCAGAGTAAGGATTAACCTCTGAGCATCCCAGGGTGTGCCCCCACCAAAACAAAATTGGAGAGGGTGAAGGATGCCAGAATGACAGTACAGAAGGTAAGGTGCTTGCCTTGCATGTGGCAGCCCCAGGTTAGATCCCCCAGCATCCTATATGGTCCCATGGGCACCTCAGGAGTGTTTGATTTCTGAGTGCAGAGCCAGGAGTATGGCCCACAAACAAACAACAAAGCTTTTCCTAAAAATTGTAGTTTAGGTGACAGGAAAATTAATTTTTAAGTTTTTTTAAGTTTCTGGTACTGATGTACAAAGCTACTGTATACCTCTGCTACAGAAGCGCCCGTGACCCCATCCACCGCCCCCTCCCACCCACATCCACTCTATGCCCCTGCCCCGTTTTTGTTAACTGAGAGGCCTGATTTTAGGACACACTGTTACCTCCTTTAGTACCACTCATGTACTCAAGACCCTCCAGGGATGTTAGCGTGCTATTTCCAGTCAGCATATTCATTCCTCATCCCCACAAAGCTGGCACTCTTGGGTCTATCTTCTAATATCCAAGGCTTATTATATGTTGATATGCATTACCTTTGACTCCAGGACTAGCAGGGAGAAGGACAGAGAGGGGAAAATCAAGGTAGCAAGAAGTAGCAGACAGGAAGTAAAGGCCTACAGGAATCAAGGGTCTTGGAACCCTGTTAGGGTAGAGGTGCTTGGGGAACCATATAGGTACCAGGAATCAACCTGGGTTGCCTGTGTGGCTAAGCCCCCTACACTCTGTACTATCACTGGGGCCCTGTTTCCAGTCCTTTTAATACAAAATGATCAAATAATTAACATTAGAGTCTCACTTATTTCTTACTAATGATGTGTAGAGTAACTTAGTCTGATCATGCCTTATTTATTAGTATGTTTTATATATATATGTAGATATATATAATGAAACCATGTGTTAAACAAATAAAAATCAGTGAAACTATTGATTCAGATTTATATTTACCTGAAAAAAATAAATTTGAGAGCTTATTTCAAATGCAGTAATTTTGGGGGGGGTTGGGGGGGCATACCCAGTAGTGCTCACAGCTTACTCCTGACTTGGCACTCCTGGCAGGGCTCAGAGAATCATAGTTGGCACTGGGGGTGGAGCCAATGTTGGCCCCATGCAAGGCAAGCACCCTGTCTACTCTGGCCCTCAAATGCAGTAATTTTGATGACAAAAACTTTTATCATTTATATGCATTAAAATTAATTCACCGTAACATTATCATTTAGTTGAAGACTCCTCAGGAATCTAATGAAGAATTCTATTTTCATGTCAAGAAAGCAAAAATCATGTTTGTCAGTGTGTTAGGGGCGAGGATCCATGGAGCTAGTTAGTCTTGGGTGGTCCCATGTCCCCAAGGGCCACGGGGAAGTAATCCACAGAGGCTGCTAGAACAGAGTACAAGAGCAGAGGGAACAGTTCAGGTGTCCTGAGATGGGACAGGCTTGGCACGCAACAAACAATAGTAATGAGTGATGAGTGGGTTGGGCTCAGAGCAGAGTAAGTCGGGACGGTGTCAGGATCTGAAGCCAGTAGCTAGGGGAGGTCAGGTGGCTATCCCGAGGGCAACGGGAAGCCACTGAAGGATGGTGTAGCCAGGGGAGAGGGGCCCTGACATTTGGAAGGCCCACTGTGATCACTGTGTGGGCTGCGGAGCAGCCACAGTTGGAAACAGGCAGTTCATGAAAACCACTGACCCCTTCAGTGGTCTGAGGCCAAGGAGATGATGGTGACTCAAACCGGGAAGGGCGCAGGGGGACGTAGGGGAATCCTGAAGGCGCTCAGGGTATTCTGAAAGAAGAGTTGACGGGATTTATGGATGAGTTGGGGGAGTCATTGGTAACCCCGAAGGTCTTTGGTCTGAGTATCGGACTGCTGCAGTTGGGTGTAATCAGGACTACAATTAAATTTTAAAATGTTTGCTTTTTTCTGTAAAGGAAGTGTAGTTGGGCGAGTACTCTAAGGAACTCTGATTTGCGTGCAGAGAGGCTGTGGACGCAGGAGGGCTTTGGATGTTCTCACTGTGATCAATGGACCGGGGGCAGGTGACCTTCTACACTGTGCTGCTCAGCTGACACCGGAAGGGACAAACCATGTGAGCAGGTTAGTGTCTACGGAGACACCGGGCCCTGGGCAGCCATCTGACTCCATCATGCAGTGCTCTCCATGGAAGCTGCTTTGCATCTGTCCTCTCTCACTCACTCTGTGGCAGCAACTGAGTCTTTTTGTGTGTGTATGTGCTTTTTTGGGTCACACCCAGTGTTGCTCAGGGATTACTCCTGGAGGTGCTTGGGGGAATCATATGGGATGCCAGGGATTGAACCCGGGTCAGCCGCGTGCAAGGCAAACACCCTACGCACTGTGCTATCGCTCTGGCCCCACAACTGAGCCTTTTTTTCCATTTAACTTTGTGTTCTCCCCCGGTGGTGCTCAGTGGGGGATTGAAAACGGGACCTTGTGCATGATATTTCTACCCTCCAGTCCTTGGAGCTCACTCCCCATCCTCTGAGTCATCTTGTATTCAGTGTGGTCAGCTATACATCACATCAAAGGTGTCCTGAGATTTTCCAACATACAGGAGAGCTGGGTCTGGACAGCAGCTGGCGCCTGGGTGCTGGCATGGGGAGATGCCCAGTAGGGCGCGGCTCATGTGTTCAGGCAGCCCAGGTGTTTGGCAGGGAAGGGTGTCTGTTCTGGGCTCTGCTACTCCCTGCTTTGGGGCAGTTGCTCAGGGAAATGTCATCTTTCTTTCTCTTCCCACTTGCACCCCAATGATGGTTAACTTTGTGTCAGCTTGGTTGGGACGTGGTGCCCAGATACTTGGTCAAATTTATTCTGGAGGTTTCTATAAGAATATCCTTGGAGGGGCTGGAGCAATAGCACAGCAGATAGGGTGTTTGCCTTGCATGTGGCCGACCCGGGTTCGATTCCCAGCATCCCATATGGTTCCCTGAGCTTGCCAGCTTGCCAGGAGTAATTCCTGAGTGCAGAGCCATGAGTAACCCCTGTGCATCGCCAGGTGTGACTCAAAAAGCAAAAGAAAAAAGAAAGAAAGAAAGAAAGAAAGAAAGAAAGAAAGAAAGAAAGAGGGCTGGAGCGATAGCACAGCCGGTAGGGTGTCTGCCTTGCACGCAGCTGACCCAGGTTCGATCCCTGGCATCCCATATGGTCCCCCAAGCACCGCCAGGAATAATTCCTGAGTGCAAAGCTAGGAGTGACTCCTGAGTATTGCTGGGTGTGACCCAAAAAAGAAAAAAATAAAATAAATTGGTTTCTAAAAAAAAAAACTAAGAAAGAAAGAAAGAAAGAAAGAAAGAAAGAAAGAAAAGAAAGAATATCCTTGGAACCTATGAACGTTTAAATAGATGGGTTTGGGTTCAAGCATATTGCCCAAAGTTGATGGGCTTCTTCCAACTAGGTGAAGGACCAAGTAATATAAACAAATTACTTCCCCCAGATCCCCCCCAAAAAGCATAAGAGGAGATCTTCAGGAGAGGGTCCTTGAACTTGACTGAACTTGACTTGCATTCTTCCTTCCCTTTACCTCCAGCCTGCCAGAATACCCTGCAATTTTTGCATCTGCTACTCTCCATAATTAAATGGGCCAATTAACACTTTTGGGGCCACACCTGGTTCTGTGCTCAGGGCTCACTCTTGGCTCTGTGCTCAGGGATCACTTCTGAAAGTGTTCAGGGAATGATCCCGGATGCCAGAGATTGAACCCAGGTCAGATGCATGTAAAGCACCCGCCCTACTCACTGTACATCGTGAGTACAGTGATTCATTTTAGATGCTAAAATTGAGACAACACAGACTACCCTCTCCTATTAATAGAAATGAAAACAAACAGTTCCAAAGGGTAAAAAAACGCAGCTCTAGTAGTACAGAGCAGTGCTGAGGTGACGAGGCTGGGCCAGCCGTCTGTCAGCAGCTTTTATTTATTTTATTTATTTATTTTTTTCTGGGCATACCGGCGATGCTTAGAGCTTACTCCTGGCTCTCCGCTCAGGAATTACTCCTGGAGGTGCTCAGAGGACCTTATGGGGTGCTGGAGATTGAACCCAGTTTGGTCGTGTGCAAGGCAAGCACCCTCCCCTCTGTCCTATCACCCCGGATCCCACCTGCAGTTTTTGGGACTGCCCTATGGCACTGCCTTTCACAGACTTGAGGGTCCACTGGGGCATCTTCCTGGAATGGGTCAGCTGAC